TTTAATTAGCTTGCCATCTCTTTCTTAATAACATTTATCTTTTGTCATATATTTATTTTCTCATATATTTCTCATTCTATATCATACATCTTTATAAATAAAGCATTGTGATTATTATTCATGTTATATATTATTTATATATTGTTACATATTTGAAATCATCAAATATGTAATTTTTGTACTAATTAAATTTTATATCTTTCATCAAATCTATTGAAAATTCAATTGCTGAATATTTTGAAATAATTATCGAGAATATATTACATTGAAACTCTCAATCGAGGATTTTTCATTAATTAAAAGACAGGAAAAAAGTATTCTGGTTATTTGCTAGATAAACAAGATACATCCACAGAATAAAGTTTGTGAAGTTACACTTGTTTACAAGAGAGGCGACACGAGAGAGGAAAGAAAAATTTGAATACCATGATATGTGATGAGATGTATCAATCATTCGTTGTTGTAAACAAATGTAAATTGAACTTTCTCTCTACGGAGCAAGAACATAGTAGTATTACATTTTGTACCTGTGAGACTTCATCTCTCATATATTTTTTTAAAACGGAAATAGTAGACTGAAACAAAACCTTGTTTATGTGCTAGAGAAAGAATTGCAAATCTACAGCGGACACGAATTCAGAAACTCTGGCCTTTGTAAATGTATGTGATTGTATTCTTTAAATAGAATCTCTCTTGGATTCTACACGATTACAATAATATTTCTTTCTTCTTCTGCTTTTATTGCATTTTGATACTTTTTTTAATTTCTCTCTGTTATAATACTAATTTTTTCTTAAACATCTCGATCTGACAGTTACGTTATATAAATACAATCAATATTTCTGGATTAATTAACAAATAGGGGAAACAAATTAATTATCTGATTAAAAATATACGTATACATATATCGCTCATTTTTTACAACAATGACATAATTCAAAAATAAAAAAAATTGAGTAATTAGTACAGGGAGAAAAGTTGCTACATGTACTATTATTAAATCGTGTCCTCTGAAAAATCACAATTTTTGAGTTACGTCATTGTCGCAGCAAATGACAATACATGTACAATATAATTAATTAGCAATAACTAGTCTTGGTTCGAAGCAGCGCAAGGCTGTAATATTAATCTAAAACTTCTCGAAATTGTGATCGACAAACGTTATATGGTTTGACGAGGATCTCGTTGTAACATTACCATTGGATGCAATACAGCGGAGTAAAGTGCAATCGGCGATGCGATACAGCAACGAACGCCAATCTCGTTAATGGACAATCGAATGTAGCACATCGTTTGCTGATTTATGTTTTTATGCCTGCCAAAAGTCACTCTAACGAGAATATCGATAATTTTTTAACGCGACACTTATTACTTACGCAATATTAAATTACGTGTTAACGTATATTAAATCGATTAATTGTCGCAGCAGATTGGCGCGCGCAATGTTTAACCGTCAATGAAATTGCAGAAGTGGCGTAGTAAGCCGCAATTGACTGAATGTTAGCCGCGAATCAGCGATGCAGCTTGTATCGCGTGGCAACGATATACCCATGATCAACAAAGTGCTCATCAATGTTTCCGCTATGCTTCCGCATACCGGAAACAATATAATAGTTCGCATTGAAAATATATGTCACTGTTGTTTATCGTTAATTTTGAAGATCTTACTCTACGATTTTCATTATTTCTTAATAAATTTGATCTTTTTAGAAAAAAAATTTATATATTTAATGGAAAAATAATAAAATGTCAGAAATTTGATTAATCTTTTTTGCGATTTTTAATATTGCGATAATTTTCGAAATGATTAGTATGAAAAAAATCATCGATGTCGAACAATGAAACAAATCTGGTAAATTTTGTGCCTTTAATTTCGGATGATTGTATTTGCAGTTCCTATCATCAGCGAATATCGCTCATGTTCGCGAGTAATACGTGCAGTTTCCGTGTTCCAATTTCGATGCATGCTCCTATCTGGACTCAATTAATGGTCATAATGACAATTTTCGATCAACATCACGCAGTGTTCGATTGCTTTGAAGATGAATTAGGCCGATAATACCGGATGATACTGTCTGGCATTCGATCAGGAGGCTTTTGCTAACTGATAAGAAAATCTGCAAATTGAACAAAGTCGTTGCCTGCAGCCGCGCGCTCAGGAAATTGCGGCACGTATTCGCCGAGCGTATATCTGTGAATTAACGATGCAATTGGTAGTATCTGACACGCTACGTGATCAACCAAGGGCTCTCTCTCGGCGTTTGTCCCGTGTGTTATCGATTTAACGCGAAAAAAATGCTGTTCGTGCGTGCGCGACTATGTGAGCCGATTCAAAAAATTGGACGATGTTTTTTAACATACGGACCAAAACGTACGCTCGCATTCATCGATATTACATGTAAATTTTGTATTTCACATTTGAAAATTAAATGTATTTACCAAATTGCATGCAAAAATAAAAAAGAAGATCATCGATACTCGCACCACGTAATGAAAACGGTTTTAAACAAATGTTATATGTAATTGGAAAAAGGGGAAAATATTTTATTTATTTTTTCGCCGAATATTTATATGTACAAAATGTTTTTCCATTTATTTTATTATATTTGCACAACATCAATAAGCTTAATTTGATCTTAAAGGGTATTATTGTTTGAGATTTTAGATTCGAAAACACGTGGTGACACACATACTCGCGCGCATGCGTGCATTTATGTATATAAGAGCTAATGTTTTATTTATTTATTGTCGTCGAGACATTTGATCTTATTTTAGCCGAATCTTTCGCGAAACGAGATCTTTCGTGATCCTCTTTGATGAAACTTTATTCATTTCGGTTTCTGTAATCTGGCTTAATTAAACTTCTGCTTCTCTCGCCCCGCTAACTCTTCTTCAAGACGGGATTAGCCGAACGTACCACCTTAAGTTCATATCGGATCTAACCCTAAGACGAACAAAAACTTAACGTCCAGTAGATGCATTGCATCGCGCAATGAGACCGTTTCAGTACTGCATTCTCTATCGCGCTGCAAGTTGAGAACAGATAGAATGTAATAAAAAGAAACAGGATAAGGTGTCTCGAGAATGTGTTCACGTTTTACGCACATTTAAATTCCATTTGCTCTCGTTTTATGAAAGCACATATAAAAAGTTACTGCGTCTAAATGACGTATCACGTAGAAGTATTTCCGCCTTTTATCATCTTGGTCGTAATTTCATCTTAATAATTACATATGTATACATATATCTTCCCTTTTACCATCTCGACTATCTGGATATCATTCGTAAACATTCTTGAAGAATGTTTCATAAAACTCTCTCTCTCTCTTTTATATAAAGCAAGCACAATCTTTTGCAAAAACTAGATTGCGTGGAAATTAATCTTGCACATAAAATGTCTCTTTTAGAGTTTGTCTTAAAGCAAAACAGGAAATAATGATAATATAATCAAGTTAAGGAATAAAGTTTTCGAGTCGTAAGTCGTAAGAGATGGACGATATTTTTTTATATAAAGAGCTTTACGAATAATCTAAATAAAATCTGCAAGTCATTCTGATTTCTTGTGTTGTCTCTACAACTTTAATTAGACAAACCTTCTCTGAATGTCGAAACTCGATACGACGCGAGTCAGTGCGTGTCGCCAAGAAAAAAGAACACGGTGAAAAAGAGCTAAATCAGCAGGCGCTTTAAGTATATGCGTTTATACTACACGCGCGTGCACATATGGCGGGTTAACTTGGCTGGTGCCTAAATATAGAGGATATTTGACCTACTTATTTTTGAAGGTAGTAGTATAAATGAAGTTTCGAGCAATTATTTTTTTAATAAGATATATATATCTACAGATATCAAATCTATATATTAATATATTGTTTAAAAATTACATTACGCTATATTTTTAAAATAAGCGTGCCTCATATCGATATTTGAAAATTAAAACTATTGACTTGGGCGAGAAGAAGAGAAGAGATATTAGCATTTTTTCTTTTGCAAGATATAAAATAATAGTCAAGGTTGATATTCTTTAAACGACCAATTGGCTAATGATGGTAAAAATATTTTATTTCTTCAGCTAAGTTTCGACTCTGAATTGGGTTCTCTTCAGCCTGATATTTGATGTCAAACTAGGTTACATATTACACGTGATGGTATTAGTGAATATTAATATTTGTAAATTAATCGTGACCACTCGTGAATGATCATGCTTAAATTAAAATTTAGTTATCATTTTACAGTGTGCACTAAGAAAGAGTTCAACATAAAGACGTTTAAAGAATATCAACCTTGATTTTAATTCTCACTGCACGGAGAGAATTTTCTCTTAGAATTTAACTTGAAAATCATGGTAATCGGGATAATATGGTATTGGAAGAATTTTATAAGAGTTTATCTGATTAATATTTACTATGATAAAAAATATTAATATGTACATAGTAAATTTTACTATGTACATGGTAAAATTAATCAAGTGTATTTTATATCTTATTATGATAGATATTCATATTTTTATTGTGGTAAATATTAATCAGAAAATCTCTTATAAAATTCTTCCAATGCCATATTGTCCCACGATTACCATGATTTTCAGGGTAAATTTTAAGAGAAAATTCTCTCTGTCTTGTAACCAACCTACTTACTTTGATAATAGGTTATTCAAGTTCTTAAGGATTTTAAATTATACACAAACTTGAAATATGTAGGTATATTCAAATATTCTCTATAATTATTATATTTTTTTCAATACTATAGAATATTTGATAAATTCTGAAAGATTCTGCAATCGTATTAATGCGAGAGAAATAATTTAGAAATACGGGATTTTTTTACCTCATTTTTTACATACTTTAACAAAGCTCTCTCTAAAAAAATTTCATTTATTTAAAAATTCCAAACATCATTAACTTTTCTCATTTTCTCATCACGAATTCATTATCGTCGAAGGAAAGTGTAATTATCCCGCGACATATTCATTCGAATACCCGCGGGTGTTTCTTACTCACCGAGTACGAGTAACAGCAGAACTTGTTGCGGGAACCGAGCCACCATTGTGGGCCCGTCCGCTCGCACATCTATGAATTTAAATCGAGCGATCCTGCCGTGCCCCCTCGATTTTCCCGTCGCGATCGCCAGCGTCCGCCGCAACAACATTCATTTAACGATTCTGTCAGTCTGTCCCTCCACGTGTGCGTATATATGCGGCTGCTTATCCGGTTCGTCCGACCAAGCGCGGATCTTTTCCACTTCGCATCTCCTTCGAGTTCACTTTTCCTGCGCTCCTTCTCCGTTTCACGCTCACCGAATCCAGGAGAGAAGTTTCGGCGTTCGGAAAACAACCACTTTTGTCGCTGCACACACCCACGCCCGATTAATTTCCCACGGCGACATACGACTCCCACGTCGAAATTTCGTGGGAATTCAGGGCGACTCGGTACGATACGCGATCGTGCGAAACGCCCCCGGCACACGTTGTCGAAATGGTATTTTTGTTTTGTGTTCTCTCTTCTTTTTTCTCCTTTTTTTCAATTCGAAACGCGATTTGATCAGCTTTTATATTAACCGGCCCGCGGCATTCTCGGCTGTACGGCGGCTGCGATTGGACCGTGCTCGAAAACCCGGTATCTGCGCACATAAATATTTTAGGGCCGCGTTTGCCAGGATAGCAGATAGGATGGACGGACGAACGGACGGGGTGCTGAGCGATAGACTCGCGGGAAAAAATAATTTACAAATGAAATACTGAAGTTGACGCTTGCCAGATAGCATCGGCAGCGTTGGGATGCGAATGCAGCGGAAACAGTCGGTCTGCGATGACAAAAGTTGAAAAGGAGACGGTAGAGTTAACGGGTGGGTTGAGCTTCGCGCTATTATCTGTGTGCGAGTGTGTGTGTGTGTGTGTGTGCGCATAATCATATGCAGGTCTTCGTATACTTGTCACGTGTATGCGTGTGTGCCAATGTTCGATCGTTCCGAACTTTCGCGACAATTGCACCGCGAAAGAACTGAAGCGTCGGTGGTTAAATTGAAAACCGATAAGTTCTTTCTTCTCAAGTTATCCGATTGCCCCGTCGTCTTTCTGCTACGAGGGATGTCTTCCCACTCGAAAGCGATTAGCGACATTCGATTTTTCGAAAAGTATTCTGAGGGGAGATGCATACAGATTTATTGAATATTTTTTCTTTTATTTAAATTTATACAAATTTATAAAAGATCGATATGCAAAGTATTTTATAATTTTTTATCAACAGTATATTCATTGATTTTAATCTAAAACAAGCAAAGTCAGATATAATCTGTCAGAAACGCTCGACGTGATATATTGGATAATATACTATAAGAGCGGAGATACGTTATGTCAAGCAACGAGCGACGGGATAAAGCTGTTCATAATATCCTGTATCCTGTATTCTACGAGCAAATGATACAATCGCGAAGCGTCGATTCGCGCGCTTATGCAAGGGCTTTACTCTGCTACGAATAATACGCGCGTTATATTCGCAAGTGAAAATTCATATACACACACATACATACAATATAATATATATATATATATATATATATATATATTAATACACGATGCGCGAAATAATTGAATTACTGCAGTGTCACAGAGCACAGCTAAAAAGGCGACGATCGAGCGGAAAGCCGATTCAATTTTGAGCCGGAGTCGCAGATTTGATAGATTTGAACGAATCCATTTTATTTTTCCATTCGCGTCAACAAATCGTGACGAGACACCGGCGTAATTTTATCGTATTAAAATGTGCGAATGTGCGTTTTGCGCGAACGACGTTCTCTCTATTCCTTAGGGTCTCCTACATTCTCGCGCCGTTTCTATTCAGCGCCGTTCATTTTCTCCCCCGACGCGGATCCACTTCTTCTCTATGGGGAATAAAAACGATCGTTTAGCTCGCGCCACAACGTCAACAGAGCGGAGGTAAAAATCGCGTGATACTCAACGACGAACGATGACGTCTTTTCATGCTGCAATATCAGGAATATAAACTTTTCGCTAAGAATCTTCATCCACACTTGTTAAATCAATTGTTTGAGTATTTTTTTTAGAAAGATCACTAAACTACTAAAAAAATATTATATTAAATACAAAATTTTAGGAGAAATAATCGTTATTTTCTGCAATCTATAATTTTTACGTGAAATTGTCTGATAACGAAAGAATAAAGAGTGAATCGGTTCTTTCATAAATTTTTATATATGTATTAAAGTTAACTTCAACAAAGAAAATAGATATTGCGTAATGGTTGTTAAGCAGGAGTTGATTATAGAAAAAAGATGAAAGATGAAAAATTTTCATATTTATGGGAAAAGTATAATACAAGTCATCAACCCTTCGCTTTATAAGTTTTTCATTAAAAGATTTTTGTGTTGCAAAGTATTTTGCATTCACGGCCACCACTGGGGTTGTCACTCTTTTTTCTCTATGCCTAGCTGAATATGCATGAATGACGACGAAAGGCTACTTGGCAGAAGCAAATCCTGTCTACATTCTTTCGACTTTGGTCGCAATTTCGTTGACTCTCGCGATAATTGGAATAATTTTCTATTCTCAAAATTTTACTTACATTTTACATATAACTTTAAATTGTGCCACATTAGGTGTGATATATTTTTAAATTGTATCTAACCTGTGACATAATGGGGGAAATGACATATTTTTTACAATTGTTCGTAAAATTGTCTCTACAATAAAGGAGCTTTACAGAATTCGCAAAAAACTAATGAAAAATATAAAAGTTTTTTTCTCAAAGAAATTTTGCATTTTATTCCGTATTTCTACAACTAGCTTGTTTTTTTTCAAAGCTTTTGTACTTTGATTTGCACCACTTTTTTTCTTTTTTTCTTGTATTTGTCGTTATATTTTCTGGTTCCATTCACGGCCGAAAGAAAAATAATCAATGTTTCAAACAAAGTTTGTGAAAAAAGTTATTTAGGGGGAAAAACAGTGTCAGATATGCGCAAGTTGTTTCGATTTTTTTCTTCGAACTCGCACTGGTTTATTTATTCATGAAGATTGTTGATTTCCAGTGAGCGAATACACACAGCAGAATTTATAATTGCTGGAGTTTTTCACGTTGCTGGAACTCTTATTTTTACTCGTGCAATATGAAAACGAAAAACTAACGCAATTAAAATTTAAATATTAATACGATAAATTTTCAACGTTTATATTTCCGTCTATTATTGACGATTGACTATTCATGCCACGTTGCTCTTTCTAATGAAAGTAAATTTTTTTATAGTAACGCGTCACCGACAGAGAAACGTGTGTAGAATATCATATATTTCTTTGCACCCTTAAGTTTCCTTTCACGGCGCTAGCTCTGCGCCAAGGAATAGGTGGCGATAATTAATCGAATTATGACATAATCATTTTAAGAGATTCCCAAGATTCGACTTATGTCACGTTCGTACGAAACGTACGGCTTACTCAATTGGGAAATTCTTAAGACGAGAGAGAAATGATCGGGCGAACGAGTTTTCGTTGTCACATACGCGTGTCTGGAATACTTGACATTTCCTTTCTCCGCGCACGTATTCCTTTTCAGTAGTTGACGTGTTACTCTTTTTGTACAGAACGCGGTATGCAGCCTTTGCAAACGTTCCTCAAGAATAGACGCGCCTTCGTGCTCTCGCTCATTCGTATCTCGCGGTCCACATTCGGGCGCGGCATAATTTCCGAGAGATCTCGGAGCTCCATGAACGCCAGAAACCGCGAAGACGCTTTTATATCGTCACGCTCGCGTGAAAATTCGTTCCTTCGTAAAAAAGGAACCTCAATAGGGATTCCTCAAATAGAACGTCGAGAATGGGTTTATTACGTACCCTGGCACGTATTTTCAAATCCGACGTGTTTGAGAAATCTGTATACCGAGCTATCGCTTCGAGAAAATTTGCCAATTTTTTTTCGGAGCAAGATTTTCGTTCGCAATAAATATCATGTATATCTTGTTTCGTCGCCCTCATCGATGCGACCATTATTTCTGGATTATCTTATCAAAGCCGTTTCAAAGACACGCGACGGCTGCTCTCGAGGCCGCTTGGCGAGCTGCCGACATTTTTCGCGGATATTTTTGTCACGCGGCCCACCGAAATGCATCGGTCCAAATCGCACGCCGCCTGTACCAGCGAAGGCTTATCGAATGTAACTCGTGCGCGAAATTTTGTGCGGGAATTACAATCACAAGCGCATCTTGCAAATACGTACAAAGAGCCGGTTCGGACGAGACGAAAATTCTCGTCTATATATATATATATATATATATATACACACACATATATATATATATATTTATATCCGTTTATCGAGTCCGCGTCCACGCGCGACGTACGTCTCGGAAACACGAAGCACTTTTCCACTTATCGTCGCACACGAAAAAAAATGCACGTAAATATGCACGTGTTCTCTCGCGCGGAGTCAACTGTATTGTCGCACCTCGCTGCTGAACGAGCGAGCAAGTAGTACAAGCCTACCACTTCGCGATCCGTCGCGCGCGGACTCCGACCGCCGACTGACTACTAGCGGCTACAGTCCGCGCTCGGTGCCTGCTTCTACTGTCTCGCTCGCGCGCCTCTTTCGGCGCCGTCTCCCATCGCACCCGTCGCCGACGCATTATCCTTCGAAGATCTAGGGCTAGCGTTAAGTTCTCGTAAAAGCTTCAAAGAAAGCAATCAAGATAATAATTGCCTTTTTTTACTGGTTACGCCAAAATGCGTTTAATGTATATAATACGTGCAATATACGAGTTATTGATTGCAAAATTTTATACAATTAACTGAGTTTATGTAACGCTATTATCGTACGCTTTCCATAAAAAGAAATAGAATTATGATTTAAAATATTAAACACTGAAATATAAAAATTTAATATCTTTTTACTTTGCTGACATAAGCTGTTTTATATCTTGCTTTTTATCTATTCTTTTCTCTCTAGTCTTATAATGAAATAACTAACGATCCAAAGTATATAATTTTACTATGCAAATACACTTAATAAACTTAATTAAATTATGAAGAAAATGCAATTGGCGAAATAGCTAAATATATTGACAAAAGAATAAAATTTATAAATCAATACAGAATAAAGAATATGATATTTTTTCTTCTTAACTTTTAATGATTATGTGATACATTATCGAAAGTAGAATTATCAGCACGGAAAATTAATGAGAAGCTTTAATTATAAGAATATCAATTTTATCACATTATGATAGAGATGAAATTAATAATTCGTTCTTAACTTCTTCCTTCTCAATTATGGCAAAGTTCGAGAGGTCATTTCAGCTATATTATGATAATTGTTAGGCAACTTCTTGATGAAAGTTTCTGATTTAGTTAACTTGCAGTAAAGGGAACCTTGTTACCGTTGAAAAGTAATTATGGATCTTAAGCAATTTAAGAAGAACCAATCTAAATATTTTACTGTAATTTTTTACGATAGTCTTAAAAAATATTTGTATACTATCGTTAATAGCTAGAGAAATTTTTAATGGAGTTTCAGTTTTTGGGACGTACATAGGATAAGAGAAATATATTTGAACAGATTTATCATTTACCATTATATATTATATCATTTATCATTTATGCGCAAAATATTTTTGAACTGTAAAATTTGTTGAGAGAGAAAAGTTTGTGCACGGTTAAGGTATAGTTATCTAGTGATAGAACATTGCGTGTGTGGGCGAGTATTACAGCCCAGAGCGGGCATTCTTATTGAAAAACTATAGCGCGATAGTCTGATCGAGCACCTGTCGATGGCAGACTTTGGCCAGCTTTTTCCAATCTCCCCGGCATTCAGTAGCTGCCGATTACCAAAAGCGATGCTTATTTGCGTAGTTAGCAGGCTGCAGTTGGGCGTATGATGATCAATTCGAACATTAACAGCGTTATCGTTTCAATGGAATTAAAAAAATGCGACAGAATGAAAACGTTCAACATCTAAATATTCACAATTTTGAGAATCTAAAAACTTAAAAAAAAATGCTATTTAAGTCCCGAGAAAAACAAAGAAAACAAATTGATTATTTATTAAACAAATTGAAGATTTTTAAAATTGAAGTAATTCTTGATCTTGATATTAACGTTAAAATCAACAAAGATTAATTTTTGTTTATGCACGTAGTTAATAATTAATTAAAACTTTAATATGAAGATATAAATATATAAAGAAAGGAATATGCGATGTTTATCTTTCATAATTAAATAATTAATTTTCCAATTGTGAATAGAATAAATGCGTTTTGTTTTATTTTATCTTTATTTAAAATTAAATAATTAGTTTTTCAATGTTTGATACATAAAATAAATTTGCTCTTTTATCTCATCTTTTATGAATATAATTGTATTGTTTTAATACAGATGATACGTAAATGTTACTTGATATACATATACAATTAAGATAAAATGTGTTATGGAAAATAATATATAGATTTTTATATTGATTTTCCAAATACAAAAAATCTAACTTATTCGATTTTCAACTTCTATAAATAATTAGAATAGAAATAATTAGAGTTTAATTAGAGGTTACTTTGTCACTTAATTATTATAATTATTATTCAATTTTAAATGCTGATTTTGCAGGTATTTTATTTTTTTAAATTTTATTTTTATTTTTTGTGAAGACAAGTTTATGTAGACAGAAATGCTGTCAAAAGAATGTCATTTGATCTCTTCCGCTATTTATGTACAGCGCGTTGACTTTCCGATTTATTTTAAGTCCTCTTCTCCTCTCTACACGGCTTTGCGTTACATAATATCGTTTTCGCAATATCGTTCAAACAATATCGTTTAAAAAAGAGTTCATTGACGAAATAATACTTGTATTTATTTTGCACCAAATATACGATGGTCTACTGTAAATACGATTTTCCGACGAATACTGAGAGATTGCCGCTCGTTTACGGCTACCTTCCATTTCCAGAATTCTACCATTATTACGACGCGACTAGAAGAAAGATCTCTCGAGACGCATTTCCAAGAGATTCTTGTCGCTTCTCTGTGCGAATCCATTGGAGAGCACCGAGCCCTTTGTCGGTTTTTGAGGTCGCCGTCTTATCTCTTCCTTATATCGTCTCTCTTCGTTCCCTTTCCGCCGTATCGCCCTTCGATTTTCCCATAACCGATTAAATATCGTTTTCTCAAAAGAAGTATTTTGCATAAAAATATTCGGTGTATTACATTGAAAATGTTAGATAGATTTTGTATCTTATTTTTTTTTTAAATCTCGTGTTAAAAATGTAGACAGATACATCTTCCATTTTTCTAACTGGAGAGCAGAGTATTTTTATTTAATCAGTTATAGTTTCACGGATGCCAACTTATTATATCATGCAAAAATGTTCAAGGAAGAAGTAAAGCTGATGGATTTGCAACCAGCTTAAAGAAAAGAAAAATTAGACTTACATTTGGTTTTTGTTTTACCTTCACATTTTTCTTGCAGACAGCTAAATTATTAAAAATCATTAATATTATATATGGGAAATGAAGTTGTTGAAATTATACGGTACTTGTAGCTAATTGGATTTCATTTCTCGTTGCAAAATGATAGAAATAATTTTTAATTTTCGTAGAGAAGTTTATGTATAAGAGATCTCTCGCGGAGAGAGACTTTACTTTCACTTTTCTTTTTTAAATTCCATTTTAAAATTAATCAGGCGTATATAAGCTCAGAACGAGAAGATGATGGAAATAAATAGTCGTATGAATATTACGTTGTAAAGCATCGCTCGCTGCTTCCTTTAATTTTATTAAATAAGAATCAAATCGCAGGACAGCTTGTGCGTGTCGCGACTGATAGATACAAAAGTAGATGTTACTTGAGGATGTCGATGACTAATCAATATTACGATTAATGTTATAATTTACACTTGATCTAGTGGTTATTTATAATTTTAGCTCGACGTGAGCGCCATGACGCGCGAGACTTCCTTATCGGCTAATATCGAACGCGAGACAAGATTTTTTAAATTTCTTTTCTTTACGAGATTAAGGACGGATTTAAGACAGATAACGGGACTCGGTGCAAGTTTCTTTCGCGTCGTCCGCGCACGCACATGTCCTGCCGCCCTGGCCGTCCGGTAGACAGAGCTGATCCTTGTTGCATCTTCCATTGTCGTACTGGCACACGTTGGTTACTGCGCGAACAAATAAATATTAATAAAAAAAAAAATTCGGACTTTATGAGAAAAAAAATTATATTGCGAGAATTGATTTTTAAAAAGACTGAACATTTGTACATGCATTTTGTTAATTCTATTTTTGAGAAAATTTGAATAGTGAAATTTATATCAAGCAATGTATTTATATAGACGAAATTTACTTCTAGGGCATGACTCGGGAACGGCCACAATGCCGTATAGCTTTCCGCTTCCACCTGGTGGAACAGATAACGGTGTGCGTCTTTCGCCATTAGTTTTTAAGCCGACTTCGATCTTGTTTCTGCAATGCACAAAGAGCGTAATATATATAAAAGCTCTCTCTTTCGGATTTTATATCTCTATAGATTGTCGCGAACGTTTTATTGCCTTACGTTTTCCAGTCGGTCCAATAGTAATAATTTTGAGATATTGCCAAGCCGAACGGATAAGCAAGTTCATTAGCGACGACGTTGACTTTTTTGCTATCTATTTCGATACAGCCTAAGAACAAGAAATTATTTATTATCTCAGAGTAGCGAGCTTTGCAGTAACGAAACTTATCGCATCATCGGACATTTTCTTGCTTAAGATTAATGAGGATGCTATTTCGACGTGTTCACATCGATTAAAATCTATATTTACTTATCGTAAACGTCCCGGCATCGGCCCAACAGAGCTCATCCGTCGCCCAATCGATACTTAATGAATTTGGCAGCTTAACGTAATCACCCTGAAGGAAGATTGCTCGGTCTGTACCATCTTCGTTAGCCCACTCCAATTTTGGAGAGGCACGATTCCAGTCAGACCAAAATATTTTTCTGAAATGAAAATATTTTTTGTGAAAATTTAAATAACTTTACGAAATCGCATTAATAATCTTACAATTTAATTATTTAAATATAGACGTTTTAATGCGATTATAAATTAAAAATGATTTTTTAGCGCGTCTCTTGTTACTTTTATTAATAAAAATTAATTTGAAATTATTGGAGAGAATCTATAGACGTAAAAGAAAATATAAGAAAATTGTAGTCTTCTAAATGTGCAGCTAGAAATAATTTAGAAACTCGAAGAAATTGCAGCATTGTCATTGTGCGAATAACGTACGCAGAAATGATTATGGTAAGATTGAAGGAGATTTTGAAGTACGAGAGAAATTGAAAAATTTTGCAAATAGATTTTCTCCACGCTTATATATTCTTACCCCCGATATGGATGAACAGCTATTCCCCTTGGATTGACCAGTCCATCGGAAACGAGAACTTTGCGTTTCTTTGTTACAAGACTGGCAACCTCGACGGTCGTCTTGCCTGAATCGGTCCAGAAGATGTTTCTTGAGACCCAATCGACCGATATTCCCT